CGTCTATGGCGGTATTACACACGCACTCATATACGCCCGTGCGCACATCATCGTGGTATACATCGCGTATTTTTACTTTTTTAGTACCCATGTATATACGGTTCGGTAACATAAAACGAAAATCGTCATCACGCGTGTGTACATACTTAGCGGTCAGAATCACCATTTTTGACCCTTGGGGGTGACGCATTTTGGTGACCCTGTTTTTTTCCTCGTCCTTTTTGCCAGCGCGCCGACGGCCGTCACATCATGATAATTAATTTTATATATTTTTTTTATGTAAGGGGGAATTATGAATATGTTCTATTATTCATAGGTGACCTATATGTATATAATATATATAATATCATTAGTACCTATATATATATATCAAAATACATCATGAAAAATTAGATTGACATGTGCACGGCAAAAGCTATACACAATATCCAAATTCCTAATTTTTCCAATAACTTGTGTAATTCTTATAATTCATAAGAATATAGTAGGTAAATAATATGTTACCCTTAAACCATCACATTCGTGCATAAAACAAATGCATCTACGTCCTGCTTAATTTTTAGCCATACTTACATATGTAAGTAATGATTGGCTGAATTTAGATGATAGAAAACTTAAATGGCACGTGCTTCGATTGTAGTTTTTAATGAAAACCACATAAACACCCGGACAAACTTACATTGGTGCCTATTACGGTTTGATTATGAATTTATTCACTACCCAAACGAGTTAATTTAGACATTGGTGTATACTTTGAGTCATTTACATTTATTATATGTACGATTTTGATGTCGAACTCCCGAATTCGACTATGATAAGTGGTAACGCTTATTTTTGTATCGACATATTATAATATATGTATACAAATTTATGAGGATTAAGATGTATACGGTATACCTACTGATTAGTGACTACAGTAATTACTAATTACTAATGACTTGCTCATTATATTATATTTTAGTTCCAATATCAGCTGTAAACTCTATTTAAAAACTTTTATGATGATATCATAAATTATTATATCGATATAAACATAAGCAGCAATCATARTACGTACTCATAATAGACCGTCCCTAATCCCGATAAACGTTCGAATTATTGCGCGTATATCTACTCGACAAGTGACAACGATGATTATGCAATGCAGATATAAAATTATTAAACWTTTTCAAAAATTAAGTCTATATATAGATATACACAATAGCCAATATGTCTACTATATACGAGCATAATAAATACAATATTTGTGATTAAGAATGTCGAACAAAACCTGACGGCGATCGATTCATCATAATATTATAAATACAGATTAGGGAGAAAAAAATCGTTCCGTAATGTATACGCGAGGTTTCATCGTCAATGTCTCAATGTACCTATATTATTTCCCATCACGTTTGTACGCGAGCCGTGGCCGACGACTAAGTCGTTTTTCTTTTCGTTTCAATTTTTTTTTTCATCTCACCCCACCGCCCGCGCCCTACCACCGGACGACTTTGACGGATGAATGGACGCGATTCGTGACGGCCCGAACTATTATTATAATATACGCGTAGGTATATAGTATATACTTTATTGTATTATATTATATTACGTTTTATTATTTCATGTACATAATAATGATAATAATATAGGCAGGTATATAACATAATATATACCTGCTATATCACCGTAGGTACATTACCGGATTATGTCCGCGATAATTCCGCGTCCATACTCCATTTGACCGTGTCCTTCGCGCGCGCGTCTTCTCGCCGTATTTTTTTAACAATATATACATCATACGAAAACGTAAAATACCTAAGAGCAGAGAGCGAGACACTGATACAGGTTATAGGATGAATTATATATGTATATAAAAAAAAAATGCACGTGTTTTTCTCGTTTTCCCACTCATCGCGGCGTATTCTTTCTTGTACCCATCGTCGTATTAAATTCGTTTCTTTATGTATACATACCTATATATAGGCTTATTAAATTATATTATTTTTTTCCGCTACCCCCCGCCCACCGATGCACGTAACGATATAATATATTTATCGTACATCACCACGCGAGTATTATCACCGTAAGTATATTATTATTGTGTCGCATTGTCGCTTCGCTTTATATGATATCATATTATTGGAGCAGCGACCGTTTCGTTTCCGTAGTAGAACTTGTTCCAATTTATTTTTTCTCGTCCGATTTGTGCCGCTGCAGCAGCTAGACCGTTTCCGCCGGACGAGACTTATTTTCGATATCAAACAATAATAACATATTATAACATAATAGATGCATAATATATTATTATATTACAATAATATCTGAGTCCTAATATTATATGTTTCAAAAGTTCTAAACGTAAAGATTATGTGTATAAATAATAACGTTGTTTCGTCATACCTCATATATATACCTCTGCAGCTGGTTACTGCATAAAGTGACAATGGCGAAAAATTCTTCGAAACATAAGACTTTTAGGTCAAACCAAAAAATGCGATTTCATATTATGTATTTTGTAAGACGAAAAACATAATGTCATATTTTACTAGGTATATGATTTGATTTTACACCTGCGCTGCCCGCTGTTTAATATTTTACCCTACATAGCACATATTATATTATATAAGGGTTGTCGTTTATTTTATATATTAAAAGGGTGACTTGTCCGATTTATTCCGTAAGAACTCTCAATTTCTGCAGAATAATAATTTATATAATAATGCGGAAAAAATAATCAATTTCTTATCGTTTAATAATATAATATGTAGGTGTCATGTATACATCATAATAATAATAACTATCGTCTTACTATTATAAATTGTTTGGTATAAATTTGTTATGGTGTCATAAGTATTAGAGAACGGAAACACAAACGTATAGTGCAACAAAATATTTTTGTTCAGGAGCTCTAACTTTCAGTGGGGTTAGCTTTAATATGAGAGGGAATTGATATATAATTGTAAAAGCAAGAAAATTATCTAAGCCAATGCATCTGTGTTTACCGTATTAAAATTTTTGAGTGAATGTCATCTATATGTACCTATTTTTATCCATTTGAAATGTTGGAATTTAAAAATGCTCACATCACCATAACTTGCCTAAAAACTCAAATATAATAATAAATAACCAACGACGTGCAATCACAGATAATTGTTTTTACCTTTAAGTTTTACAATAGGTCAACTCATTCWTGTATGATAAACTAACAACACAAATTAGGCTCTGATGAACTTGGATTTGTTATAACATGTTAAGTCGGATACAATACGTCATGCGTCATAATGCTAACGGTCGATAACAAAAAGACAATTCAATATTATTTAAAATCAAAACGCATTTGTATGTGTTTTGTAGTTTAACGTTATCAATTTAGCTACTATATACCTACTTGATATAATAAAAATACGTTTTTAATTTAAAAGTCTTATCCAAATCAGTTTCTAGCGAAGACTATACACTTTTATAGCTTTATGCGTTTATTCAATCATAATCCATGGTTATGGAATAACGAGATGGAACATCGTCATGGTCGAGTAAAATATATGGTGAAGTTGATTTGAATACGTTTTACATTTTACATGTTAATTAGTTTATTGCACTTGAATTAAATGTTATTGGCGATTCTCATAACGCGTATACGTGTAGTATAATAATTATGTATAATAAAGCGATTAACTGTTGAATATAATTTAACATTATAAACATCGTATTTAAAAAAAATCTAAAAGTATAATTTTTATGGGTCACAGTTTAATGTAGGTATATACAAAAAAAAAAATGTTGAAAATGCGATTTAAATTTATATATACAAGCAAAAAAGTGAACATATAATTATATGACGTCATAATAATTAATAGATTATCTAATTTTTAAACCCAGAGAACAATTTTATTAATCGGGTTTTCTATGATATTATATTTTGTATGTTTAGTGTAGTTAAAGTCTCGATAAATGATTTTTGTTCTCGAAAATTTGTGAAATTTTCAAAGCACAGTGAATTAAATTAGGAAGGTATCCAATAGCAACAGGTTATATCTTAATGCTATACATTGCGGAATCGTTCAAACTTCGACACCATCATGGACAGATCTGCATAATTTCTTCSTACCACGTCCTAAAGTAAAAATTCTTTTTTGTAACTTAAAAAAAATGTATCCAACCATTATCATATTATATTATAGTGTTAATAGTGTTATAAATATTATGTGATTATTTTAATTTTCTACAATATTGTCAATACAAATAAGAATAACCAAAACACGGATTTCATCACATTCTTAGCACTAATTTTATTAAGTCGCATATAAGATTCGGCAATTCCGTTGTATCTCCCGTTGCCGACACACTTCGTGGACATAAGACATAACATAAATAGATACAATAACACAATTAATGATTTCCGACAAGTATGTACATTATATTAYATTATAATATAAACTATAATAATAATAATAAYAACAACAACAACAACACGTCATCTGCGTTACATATTATTATTTTATTAATGTACGTTCGTCGTTTGACGAAGTCTCCGGATTCCAGGAGACCAGCAAACGCGTGGCCCGAACTGCAGTTGTCTCCCAATATATATAATATTATTATCGATGAGACGTGGCGTCGCTGGGAGTAGGAAGCTGTAGGGGACGCGCGCCACCTTTAAATATTATACAACGGGAACTATTATAACGACTCACCTACCTACGCAATATGTGCGGACGAACGGAATAATATAATTACGAGCTCTCGTTCGAGGGTCGTCGGGTGCGAGGGGGAGGAGGAAGAGGGTGATCGGTATCCGTGGGAACCGAACGATTGCTCTCCCGAGGGGGTTACGCACGTGAGGGGTACGCGACCTGAGATCGTGTGTCGGGGGCGCGCGAGCCGATCATCCCCCCCCCAGCGGTGGACGGGTGTGCATATTTTTAGAAGGGGTGTAACGGCGACGGCGCGGCGGAAGAGGAAGAAGCGCGTCGGCGGTGTCGGCGGCCGAGGCGGCGACGGCAGAGTGAGACGCGCAACAGGCACGGCCGCCGCCGTCGATGGTTCAGTCCGTTACCCACCGTCGTCCGGCGAGCATTTCGCACGTGCGTGTTCGTCGATCGTCGATATTATTATTACAATCATAATCATCGATAAGGATAGTTTATAATTTGCATGTGTTCTCGATCGTGACGGTGTATAATAATATTGTCGTTGTTGTTTTATTCGTCCGTCGAATTTGTTTATTTTTCAACCTACTCGACTTGTCATGTTTTCGCCGACTCCGTCGCCGATTTCTCGGACTGTAACGTACCGAAAGGTAAGTGATTCTCTTTTTCTTACTATATAAGCCTCCCYGTGGTTGTGGTTTTAGTACTGCGTCTTATATAAATTATAATAATATGATTTCGCTATTATGCCGTTTATAATACAGCATCATTTTTTTAAAATCAATTTCCTCACCACAAACCTCGATCTACAATAAACATTAAGCACCCACCCCTAAAACCATCATCATGATGCCTCCTTATATATATGGGCTATAAGCACTAGACTGGCGTCGTTTATCGTTACGAAAATATTGTACGATACAATAATATATGCTGTTCTCACAATATATAACCATATTATACCGGTAAATAGTAACATTAAATACACATTACTACGCCTTACGTTTTCCGTTGGATCGAAAATCTATTAACTCTATGGTAGTCGGTAGAAGTAACGTAATTATTCAATGTAATAAAAACTAATTTTASTATCCACGGTTCGAATGCATTATTTTATATTTTACAAAGGTGGATTTAACAAAGGAAATTTTATAATTTTTTTTAGTTTTTACGATATTTTGGTCAGATTTGTGGACCGAGAGAGAAATGAAAATTAAAGGTTTTGTATACAAATACATTTTATAATATAACAATATACTATATACTGGAGTGTGTGTTTAGTTGAAATTTAGATTAGAATATCTTTTGTGATATTTAATATTTATGAATGAGAATTGTGTAGATTTTGAAATCGTGAATAGTGCTGCTGTGCGCGTAGCTAGTATGTATTTTGTAGAATGTTTTGTTGCTGGTTGGTGGTATATAATTAWGTCAACTGAATGACTTAGCTAATCGACCCTCGAGCTCTGTTCGGGGAAATATTTTTTGWAACTTTTTCCAACGTATAACTTATTATACTATTTATATTTTATTATAGAAATACATTTTTGTTTGAAGTTTACATTACAAAAATAATCATATAATATTCTACTTAACAGATCACAAAACCGTTATTAGAACGAAAGCGCCGAGCTCGCATCAATCGATGTTTGGACGAGTTAAAGGATCTAATGTTTTCTGCCTTAGAGGTGAGAGGAAAAAATATTATTATAATGAGTTGATTTAATTAAAAATATTTAATGATATTTTAATTTTATTTATAGGCTGAAGGTGAAAATGTCGATAAACTCGAAAAAGCTGACATTTTGGAGTTTACTGTTAAGCATCTTCAAAAGATAACTAGGAGAGATCCCGTAGAAGAAGCTTATAAATTTCAAGTAAGTTTAAAATAATAAATTAAGCATTTACATGTTCCAACTGTTCCAAGTTAATTATTATGGTTCATTATTATCGTTTGATGACATCGTATCGTACAAATTACATAAAAGTTGAGGAGTCACTTTCGTTTGTCATAATGCGTTTAAACTTTTATTTTTCGATTGTTAAATCGTAGTATTATACAATATTGCATTATGTGTTAGGTTAATGTAGAATAGGTTAAATGAAATTTAAAATGTATTAATTTGATTTTCATATGTATTATCAGTGGCGTATTTTGGGTGATTTCTCGGGGGGTGTCAACATTTATTGAACCCCACAAACAAAATTTTTAGTATTATTTACTAATGTAAAAAGACATTGAATTAATTTTTTTAACAAATTAATATGTTTGGAATTTACAAGAAGTTTTACAGTTTTACATTTGATAAAAATAGTATACTATAAAATAAATGACAACACTAATGTCCAATATATTAGGACTTTTTTTTAAATGTCGGGGGGTGTCAAGACACGGAGGACACCCCCCCAAAATACGCCACTGTGTATTATTCAAATCTAAGTGACATCTAACGTGATGAAATAAAAACATCTTCAGAGTGTAAATATAAATTTTTCCAGCATATTATTATACATTTATACCACATTAAATTTTAAATATACTTTCACTGAATAGAAAAATAGATATTAGATTATTGCTAAAATTTAAAAACTAAAAAATATCTTGACAATTATTGAATTTTGTCTTTATGATCAAAATTATTCTAAAATATAAAAAAATGTTGTTAAATAATATTATATGTTTTTTTCAAAATTATATTATGTATATTATACCGAGACTTAATGRKTATGAAAATTGGAGTGAATTAAAAATAATTATTGAAAAAATAACAATTTATAATAATAATTTCAGTTTTTCAGTTATCTATATTWCTAAAAATAACACACCCTTAAAAAAATTATTGTTTTTTCTCCCCTCAAATACATTTCAGGAAGATTTGAATCGTTATTATTTACGGTTACATCTGTTGAATGATTTGCGTAGGCGTTGAGGATAGAGTGGATACGAGTAGGGCGATAATCGTCGGGAGTTCACGTGAAAACAGTTCAAACAAGCTTAATACATTTATAACGAAATATTATGATATTATATTCGATGCATTCATTTTGCGGGAGTGTTATCGCACTAGTGGCATTCTATTCAATTTTAAAATATCATCTTGTACTTACGCGTAATTTATAGGTACTGACGTACCGTTCGTTATTAGTTTATTACATTACACCCGTGGAGTGTTTTATTTTTGAAATTTTTCGTGTTGGACATTAAAGCTTAGATTCCTAAATAATTTTAATGTAACATAATATAGAAATATAGATAATATTGTAATGCGCATTAGTTGAAAAATTATTGGTCACTGTTGAGTGTTGACTGTATTAAGTCTGCAGTATATAACCGATAAAATTGTAATTAGTAGTCACGGCCACAACAATAGACCTTATCAAACATTACAAATGTTATCAAGTTAAAAAAGAAAATTCTCAAATCGTAATTTGTTATTAATTAAATTAATGTCAATAACCCAACACGTTTTATGATTTCGTAGTATACCTACGTCATACTCATCATACAGATTTTATATCACKCACAAAAATATAGGCCACGAATAGTATTAAAATGGCGAGTGGTGCGTTAATATGTTGGTGTTAATATGTTAATATTTGTCTGTCCGCAGGAAGGATTCAGCCACTGTGCCAGCGAAGCGTGCAGTTTCCTGTTGTCACTGCCGGGCCTAGACTCGGTGGTCGGCCGCCGGCTGGTCGAGTACCTGGCCAAATCGGTGTCGCGTGCCCTCGAATCTCAA